CGAGTGATGAGTTAATAAACCGGCCGGCGTACCCATATGCCGGAAAAATCCGTCTGACTGTCTGATATAAAAAAAAAATTATGTACAATCACCCAAAGATTTGCCTAGAAGAATTGCACGCCCTTCCGCATGGAAATCGAATTCTGTACTGTACCCTCACATACACGTATTTTGCCTCCAAAATTGCCCCCCCTTTACTCGGGCATCACCCCTTTTCCCCACTACTGCAGCGGTTGGCTCCAGGGACCTCAAAACGAGTTCGTCAAACGTGCTGCTTCCACAAAAAAAAAAAAAAAAAAAAGGTCAGCCAACTGGGGCGTCGCCTGAGGAGGAGGGCTTATTTTTTTTTTTTTTTTTTTTTTTGTTTGTTTGTTCCCCCGAGGGGGATGGGCCGCGCCACGCTCCGCTGCAGTGCAATACGAAGGCAACGCTGGAAGGGTCGAGTAGGCAAGCCTACCCCTATGACCCCTCCGTAGCCCTGAAAATTTAATTTAATATCGTGTGGCCCGATGGACCACAGATCAGACATTAAACTGATCAGAACAGATACTACACTTGATCTTAGCCAAAAGGCCGAGAAAGGTATTAGGAGGAGGGCTTCATCGTTGCAGTAAGACACCCTTTTTTTTTTTCTTTTTTTTTTTAACAAGATGCCACCAAGACACGACTTTTTTCATTCCAAGGGCATGCTCTCTTTTTTTTTTTTTTTTTGGTTCAAACAAGTGCTCCAATCTTTTCGTGGGGAGCAGCACGTGCTGGGAACCGGGCCCAGCGTCCCATATCGAATTATAGAGATCATTTGTCACACGTATTCTTCCAAGAATGTCATTTTCGGCCACAATTAGGGCCACATTCAGTGAGAAAATCCTACTTTTTTTAACATGGTCTAATCTACAACACACATACAGTCGAACAATATTATACAAAAGAGATTCCTCGCCGCAATACAGACGTGAAAGTTTCGAGTGGTACCCGTCAGTCCCCTCGTTACAATCCTTTTTTTTTTCCTTTTTCTTTTTCTTTTTTGTCAAACACCATAGGGGAGGCTCCACCTATCCGTGGGGAGCGTCTCCCTCGTCGCAACCCTTTTTTTTTTTTTGTGTGTGTG